TATACCAAGACAAAGCTCAAAATGGGCACATGATTTAGACATAGAAGATGATATTGTAAGCAGATTATGGATAAAGGAAGAATTCATGATCAAACAAGAGATAGAAAGGTTCATAGGAGGTAAAATTTTGATGACATAAAGCTAAAGTTTTTACACAACCTAATAGTTCTAAATAGGTTCAAGGAAGCCTTGGTATAATTAGGAGAGACCTGAGAAGACTTATAAGAACTGATACATAGGAGAGTGAGTAGTTCCAGGGAAACAATGTATGCAATAACACTATTGTAAAAAGGAAAACTTTTGAGACTTTAGAACTCTGATACAATGACCAACCATAGCTGCAGAAAGCTGAGGGTGAAGCCTGCTTCCCGTATCTGGACAGAAAGGTGATGGACTAAAGGTGGGAACAGAAAAGACATATATTTTCAGACATGGCCAACATGTGGATGTGTTCTGCTTAACTATGCTTATTTGTTATAAGAGAATTTTTTGAGGGGTGGGATCAGAGTGGTAGTGATACCCCACCAGAAAAAAGAAGAAAGGAAAGAACATCATCATCATCATCATCATCATCATCAACAATTAGCACCTATAGAATTTTTTAAGGTTTGTTAAGCACTTTACAAATATTATCTTATTTATCCTCACAGCAGTCTTGAGAGATAGGTGCTATTATTGACCCCATTTTACAGATGAGGAGACTGAGGCAGATAGTAATTTAGGGACTTGCCCAGGGACATACAGCCAGTAAGTATCTGAGGCTGGATTTAAACTCAGGTCCCATGACTCCAGGCCCAGCCCTCTATCCACTGTACCACCTAGCTGGACAGAAAAGAACAGAAGGGATTCCAGAGGGGGAGATACAGATAAACAGAAGAGCTTTGGAACTAACAAATTGAATTTGTCAAATACTTTTTGAAAAAACCAAGCAGTCTGTGATAAAAACTCATAATTTTACTCTTTTTGTTCTTTGTACATGGGAATGTTCATTTTTGCTGGTATTTGTCAAATTTGTCAAAGGGACAAAAAGAAATTAAAATTAAAGTCCTAAAATTTAAAAAAAAAAAGGCTTGGCCCAGCCAGATTCCGTCATGACACTGACATGTAATAGCTGAACTGATCCTTGAAGACACATGAAAATGCTGTGGAACACCGGAAAGGGGCAAATGTCTCAATTTTCAAAAGAGGGAAGGATGTGAATTTCTCAATCTGCAGATTAAGAGCTTGCTGACTAGTTCCCAGAAGAATTCCAGAAAGGATTTTTAAACAAACCCTAACCTTCCTATAACTTCCACCTATTGCTTCTAGTTACAAGTGTAACAAACCGTCTTTTGAATGACAGTCCTTTCACATGGTTTATGAGCACCTAATGGGGTCCAGTAGCAATCAGCATAAGCTTATTAAGAATAAGGCATATGAGATCAGCCTCTCTCTCTCTCTCTCTCTCTCTCTCTCTCTCTCTCTCTCCTCTCTCTCTCTCTCTCTCTCTCTCTCTCTCCCCCCATATGTGTATATATGGTAGACCCAGGGCTAATGCATTTGGCATAATGCATGTGAATTTCAATAAGGCATCTGATAACTCTCTTATTATGTCTTTGGGAAGAAGATGACAGATATGAGATGAGTGACAGTATAGTTAGATATATTTGGAACTGGTTGAACTGGTCAGTTCCAAATGACTGGAAGGCAGAGCCTTGAGTTCCAGGGCCTCTATTTAATGAGGGGGCCCAGCATAGTCCCCCCCCCATTTTCCACAAGCTATACTGCTTTTGAATTTCTGTGGTATTCTCCAATATCCATCCACTATGTGCCTTCCTCTCCCCCCTTCCCCTTTCAGCTTCCTTTTGTGTGTTGTCTTTCCTCATTAGATTGTAAGCTCCTTGAAGGCAGGGACTATCTTTGTGTTTATTTGTATTTGTATCCCCACTATGCCAAGCACACTGTGATTAGCACGGTGCCTGGCACAGAGTAGACACTTTAAAATGTAATCATCTTCCTATGTGTCTGTCTGCATCTGGAGCACTATGTTCATTTCTGGGTACTATATTTTATTTTATTTTATTTTATTTTTGGCTAGGCAATGGAGTTAAGTGACTTGCCCAGGGTCACACAGCTAGTAAGTGTTATGTGTCTGAGGCAAGATTTGAACTCAAGTCCTCCTGACTCCAGGGCTATCCACAGTGCCACCTAGCTGCCCCTGGGTATTGTATTTTAGAAGCTATACTGGTAATCTGGAACAAATCCAGAGACTGATAACTAAGATAGTAAGGGAACTAGGACCCATGTTATATAAGAATAATTGAAGGAATCTGTGGTGGTTAGCTTAGGGGAAAGGAGACATAACCAGAATTTTCAGATGAAGAGCTCAAAGATATCTATTATATGAAAAATGCTCTAAATTATTATTGATTAGAGAAATGCAATTTAAAACAACCCTGAGATACCACCTCACATATATCAGAGTGGCTAACATGACAGAAAAGGAAAATGACAAATGTTGGAGGGGATATGGGAAAACTGGGACACTAGTGCAGTTGTGAAATGATCCAATCTTCACTTTGGCACTATGCCCTAAGGGCTATAAATCTGTGCATACCCTTTAGCCCAGCAATCACACTGTCTGTATCTCAAAGAGATTTAAAAAAAAAAAAAAGGAAAAGGACTTACATGTACAGAAATATTTATAGCAGTTTTTTTTGTGGTGGCAAAGAATTGGAAATTGAAGGGATACTCATCAATTGGGGAATAGCTAAACAAGTTGTGGTATATGATTGCAATGGAATAGTATTATACTATAAAAATGATGGAGAAGGATGCTTTCAGAAAAAGCTGGAAAAATTTACATGAACTGATAAAAAGTGAAGTGAGCAGAAACAGAACATTGTATACAGTAACAGCAACATTGTGCAATGATCGGCTGTGAATGAGTTCTCAGCAATACAGTCTTTCTAGGAAAGAGACAGGAGACGTGACAGTAATATCTGAAACAGATAAAAGTAAACACAAAACATCAGAACATTCTAAGAGTGAAACAGTAGTATGTGATCTTGAAATTCCAGAAAGTATCTCCATTCTCTAAAAAGCCCATGGCTCAGGTCTAGATATTTGAAATTATATCTTGCCTTAAAAATTTCAGTGAACATGAAAACATGGACTTGGAAGCCATTTGAAAAACTTTACTATACTTTATAAAGAACAAGTATTTGGTGTGTATGTTCTCCTCATAGTATAAATGTTTGAACAAGGTTGTGTTACAGATACTCAGTTCCCTAAAGGATCTTTGATTTCCTCAGCTATCACAAATCTTTTTTAATGCATTTTTTCCACTTACAGGTGAAAAAAAGTTTAACATTTGTTTTTTTTTTTAAATTTTTCCAGAATTAAAGGGGTGCCCATCAATTACGAAATGGCTGAACAAGTTGTGCTGTGTGATTATGATGGAATACTATTGTACTATAAAGAAAGATAAGCAGGATGCTCTCAGAAAAACCTGGGTTAATGCAAAGTGAAATGTACTATATACAAAGTAACGGCAGTATTATAAGATGATCAGCTATGAATGACTTAACTATTCTCAGAAATATGATCCAACACAACTCTGAAGGACTTATGATGAAAAACGCTATCCATTTCCAAAGAAAGAACTAATGGTATCTGAATACAGATTGAAGCGTACTTTTTAAAAAAATTTATTTTTCTTGAGTTTCTTTGTCTGTTTTCTTTCACAACATGACTATTATGGAAATGTTAAAAAAAAATTCTTTCCTAGCAAGACAATTCCAAAGGATTCATGATGAAAAATGTTATCTACTTCCAGAGAAAGAACTGATGGAGTCTGAATGCAGATCAAAGCATACTATTAATATTTCACTTTCTTCATTTTTCCTTGTTTTTTTATCTGTTTTCTTTTGCAACATAACTAATATAGAAATATGTTTTGTATGATAGAACATGTATAACATCTGTCAAATTGCTTGCTGTTTCAGGGAGGGGAAAGGTGAGTGAGAGAAAGCGAAAATTTTAAAAAATGAATGTTAAAATTGGTTTTTTACATGTTTGGGGAAAATATTATTTAAAAAAAGACATGGACAGGAGGGATATGATAACTTTCTTTGATATTTCAAGGGTTGCTCTGTGGAAAAGTGACTAAAAATATGTTCCGCTTGGCTCCAGAGGCCACAACTAAAACCCATGGATGTAAGTTATAGGAAAGTTGATTTTAGCTCCATCAAAGATCAGAGCTCACCAAAATGTGATAAAAAGCTGGCTTATGAGAGAATGAGTTCTGATCATTGGCAGTATTTACGCTAGACTAGAGGCTGATCACTTTATGATCACTTTTTGGAAACATCATAGAGAGAGAGGGCATATGATACAGCTAGAACTCAGAAGAGGTGATTCCTTCCAACTCTAGGATTTTTTTTTTATTGTATTATACCAAAAAGTGTCTTGAAATTCTCAAGTCAAGCAATTCAAACTGTCATTTTAAAAAATAAACATATGCCAAGGGCTACTTTTTATAGACCTGGAAAAAAAACCATAGCTCAGAAAAATGTGTTGAATTACTGTCAACTGGGTATGATTTTCAATGGCAAAAATTTCAGGCACTTAACTTAATAATTTGAATTAGTAAGTATCTTATCTACCTGACATTCTTATAGTAGGGGGAGGAGTGTAATTTGATTGATTACAGATGCCTTTGATCAACCCCCTCCCACACGAAATGGACCCTTATAAACTACAAATAAGTCCCTCAGAGTCTGACCCTTGGTAATTTCATTGAGTGGATTGTGAAATCAATGAGAGTCTCTTAATCAACCCCTGCAACACTTCAAATATTCCAGTGATGAGAAACATCCTGATGGAATGTAATTGCTAAAAGCCCCTTACCAGAGACTGTAGCTTCTTCTGTGGTAGGGAGGGTCCTCACTGGGTCACTCTTGTCACTGCTGTCACTGGTCTGGCTACCATCACACACGGCAGAAACTCGGAACCTGTACACAGTCTGAGGGGTCAGTCCATCGACGTCACAGTATGTCCCCTCATTTCTTGTTCTCTGTTCGTGCCATTCTCCTTCCCCCTCCTCACCCACAGCCTCACTCTCTTCTCTGTACTCTATTCTATAGTCCTTGATCTTGACTCCTGCTCCAACAACCCTTGGACCGTCCCAGTGCAGGGTCACAGACTGTGGTCCCACCACAACAGCTTCTGGCTTCCCAGGAGGCCAGGTCAGGGGAAGTGTCCTCACAGCGAGGCTCACGTCACTGCTCTCACTCAGCCCTGGCTCTCACACCTCAGCAAACCGGAAGAGATACTCTGTGCTAGGCTGTAGGCCCCTCACTTTGAATACCTCTGGCTTTCCAGACACAGGGATGGTGGTCCAGTCCTCTTGCCCTACAACCTGGTACTCAACCTGATAGCCAGTGATCCTCTCCTCCTGCCTAGATGCTGAGGTCACAGTGAGCTCTACACAGTCATGTGTGACCTCACCAATCTGGGGAGGGGGAGGTTTGACTGGTAGCTCAAAGTTGGTGCTGACCTGCAGTCCCTTTTCATAGAGGTAAATGGAGACCCCCTTGTTCTCCTGGTCTGGGACAGATGCCACAATGAAGTGAGTCTTCTCAGTGGAATGATTGGCCTTGGCAAAGGTTGAAAAGGATTCTGCCAATTGTCTTTCTTTTCTCCTTGTCTCTCTGTCCTTGACCCATGAGGAATATGTCTTTTGCTCACAGTCAGGACTGAATGATGCTGGATTCCACAGCCACTGTTTCCAGTCTGCTAAGTAGGGCTCCTCTTGCAAGGAGGTGAGTGCAAACACCAGGACAAATCTATGGGGAGAGCCTATTACCACATCGCCCACCTCATTCTGGTTGGCTATCACTGGCACCTCCTTCAGAAGGGTGAGGTAGGACTTTAGCACCTTCATCTCCTGGAGCTTCTGATCCAGGAACTGTGAGAGCCTGTTAGTGCTGAATGGGGACTGGCTCTCCCTAATTAAAATACTGGTCAGCTCATCCTCCTCTGCTCTGCCTGTCCTGATCAGGGGTAAGGCCTTGGCTATGTCCTTCTGTAAAAGCTGTCTGTGCTGCTTATTTAGCTCTTGGAATAAGCTGACCTTTTCCATGATTGCAGGAAAGACTGAGAGCTCTGGTGCCTCCAGCATGTCATTACACCTCTTGTCACACTCAGATAACTTCTCCAGAGTGTCCTGGGCATTGCATACCAAGCTAATGCTGATTCCTCTAGCCAGCCTGGCAGCCTTGGAGCTCAGCTTCTCCAGAGGGTACAGCCAGACTTGGAGGGGCACCCCTCGGCCCCTAAGCAGCTTAGGAAGGGAGGCATACGCTTCTACTGCATCTTTATAAGTCATCAGATTGGTCTGAAGAACAAAATCCCCATAAAACTTACACCTAAATTCCTTGGTTGATTTTTTCTTACTGTGCTCCATTTTCATCTTTCCCCCTGCTTTTCCTGATACTTGGGGAATCTTCTTTACTTTATTCTTCAAGGTGCCTTCTATATCCTTAACGTTTTCATTGGTGGAAACTTTCTGATCAAACACAAAGAAAGCCTGGGCCCCATAGAGCACAGCTGTGACCACGTGGGTGGCTGTCCCTTTATCAAACACATCATGGTAAGCAATATTCTGATACCCCAGGTGGTTCATGGTGAGGTGGGAATACTGGGTAGTCATACTGTACTTGAGAGTGACCCGAGCTTGCCGTTGGGATGTCTTGGTGTCACATAAATATTTGGCAGAACCTCCTATTTTAACCAGGCCCCCCAAGACACTTGCTTTCAGCTCTGCAGAGATATTCATGGCCTTGGTCTTTTCATCAATAGAATCAGAGGTGAGGATGTCAAAGTCAGTCTTGCATTGCTCTTCTATGGTCACATTTCTCTCAAGGGTCTCCTTGTCCCATAAAGTGATGCCTAGAATGGGACAGAGACATTAGGGGGTAAATGGCAGATTGCAGAGGGACCACAGCCTGTCACTTTAGGGTGTCCTTTCCAGCAGGGACAGCTGGGCCTGGGAGCAGCTTGTCGAAGAAGGGTAAGCAGGGCAAGAGGCACAGATGGCAGAGGTGGAGAAAATCCTACTCCTGACCTGGAAAGAACTTCTCTAGGCCTCTGTAACTCCCTTGCTCCTGGAGCCCTCTATGACTGAAGGGGGAACCCTTACAAAGCCTCTCCCTACTCTGAACCCCTGAATCTGGATCCTTATCCTTTCCATCCCACAGCCCCAGCACATACTTCCCTCCTCTAAGTCCCTCTATTCCTTCTCCAAGTAGGGAAGCCTTGCCTCCTCCCAGCTTGGCAACTGCATCCTAAAAAAGCCTATGTTGTTATAGATTTCACAGGGTTTACAAAGCACTTTGCTCCCAACACTTTTATGAGGTAAGTTGTGCCAATACCACAACCCCATTTTCCAGACAAATAAACTAAGACTCAGAGAGATGTTGGTTAACTTTTTGCAAAACACATAGCTATTAAGTGTCAAAGCAGAGTCCTCGTCTTCTGACTCTACGAGTAGCCTTACACAGGGAACCGGAGGTCACCCTGAATGAGGTCTGTGCCTGTTGGGGCTTCTAAGAGGCAGTTGTGTGCAGAGTAGGTCTCCAAGTGGTAGCTGAGGATACAGTAGTTAGAATTTCCTCTAGAGCATGAAAAGTACCAGCCATGCTACAGGAGAGATGGCATGGGATAATGGACAGAGAGCTGGCCTCAGAGTCAGGAACCCTGAGTTTGAAGTTCCTCCTCTGACACACCCGGGCTGTGGGACTATGTTTTAAGTTGCTTCCTGTCTCAGTGCCCCAAGCAATTCTCTAAGCCTGAGTTTCAGAGAAGCTGCAGATCTGAGTTGGCAGTGGAAGTCTACCCATTGGGAGTTCCCTGTATCAATGACATTGATGTCTCTATCCCTAACTATGCCTCTGAGCATTGCTCTCCCAAGTCCAGCTTCTTGCCCTGGAAGCTTCCCCCACAGGCTGCTAGAGCATCAGAAGTCCATTCCCAGTCCTCACTCTCACTAAAGGAAATGATGGCACTATCCTTTCCCCTTTCCACAACCATCTTTCCATTTACATGATTAAGGCTTCCATTCCCCTTCAAGACTGACCTGGATGTTCATTGTAACTGGATTTGCTACCATATTTAAGTGTCTTGGGTCTGTCAGGGCAAATGCTCTACCTCCCCATAACACAGAAGGTGTCTGATTTACTTCACCCACTGAAGCCCCTTGGGATGATCATGGACTCTTTTTGCTAGATCTTGCTGAGATTGCCCTGTTTTTGATATCTGCCTAATGGGTTGAATGAGCCCCCCTCCTAACTTGCCTTCCTAGTCCATCTCACCCCCATCTCTGATGCCTGGCATCACAGTACAGGACACCTCCGATGGACTAGCATTTGCCAGTACATAGACCCTCTAGAAAAGACAAGGTAACAGACTCCACTGCCTGGCACTTTCTCCCAACCTGACCTTCTTACACAACATTCTCCTCCTCTAACCCTTTCCTGACATTCTCCTCCCCTGATTTCTGGATTAAGGTCTTGGCTTTAGGAGAACAATTACCAGGGATAGAGGTATCTCTGCAGCAGTCCCCAGATACAGACAACCAAGAGCTGGGATCTGCATTGTCATCCCTGAGGCCATTGTGTCTGATGTTCTTTCCTTGGAATTTTCCTATAGAAGAAAATTGAGATTTGAGGAAGTTGTCTGTGAACTCATAGCCTAGCCTGCTGCTGCCACAAAGAAAGTCCGTATTCCTTTGTCCAGGCTCCCCCAATCTTTGATAAGCAAGAGCCTTTCAGGGAGATAGAGGATGCCCTGGAGTAGAATGACATCATTCTTTTTTTGAGGGCAACAAAGGAGCCAGACCCAAGGAATAGTTTATCTTCCTAGATTAAAGTTTATTAACCTTTTTCTGTTTCATGGACCCTTAGCCTTTGCACCCTACTCAGAATAACGTATTTAAATGCATAAAATAAAATATATAGGATTACAAAGGAAACCAATTATTCATGGACCTCAGGTTACTAGGTCAGGGGAGGCTGGTAGGGATAGACAATAATCAGGAAAACTAGCTTAGATGTTTTAATGTCATCCAGATTGCACTAGGTGGGATCTTTGATATACCTATCTACCTTACTTTTGTGTGTTATTTCTGAGTTTATATTTTCTTTTCCTGTATAAATAAATATTCTTGCTTAAAGCCAAGGTAGCTGGAGTAGTGCAAGGAAAAGAGGATATGGGTGCTAGATGCAAGTACCAAGATAAAGTGGAATTTGTGAAGAAAGAAGGAAGGAAGGAAAGAGAAAAAAGAAATAATGAAGAATGGAGAAGGAAGAAAGGAGAAAGAAAGAGAAAAAAAGCAAGTAAAAGAGAAAGAGAGAGACAATGAAAGGAAAAGAAAGAAGGCAATTCAAGGTAGAGGCTGGTCTTTCTCTAACTCAGGGAACCAAGTGAGCTTAGGAACCAAGAAGGTCAGGAGGTCTGGCGCTTTCTTTGACTTGGGATTTGGAGATCAGCAGTTTTAATATTTAGGGTCAAAGAACAGGGCCCCGACTAAGATCAAATAGAAAAGCCTCCATTTGGCTTTAACACCTTTCTTAACCTGACTACTGCCTACCTGCTAGATCGTCTTCCTCCCTCATACATACAATCTGCTGAGTGCTAATAGTTAGCATTTATGCAACACTCTAAGGCATCTTACAAGCATGATTTCATTTTATTCTCACGACAGCCCTGGTGCTACTGTTAGCATCATTTTATAGATGGAGCCAGTGAGGTAGACAGGAAGTGGTTGCTGGGGTCATACAGCTAGTAAGTGTCTAAGGCCAGTTTTAATCTCAGGTCTTCCTGACTCCAGGTCAGTACATTTATCCACTAAGTCATCTAGTTCTGGTGACAACGGACTTCTTGCTGCCATTCTTGAGCTTGATCTTCTCCCTCTACAACATCCCATCTGCCATATCCAAGCCTTTGCACAAACTGTTCCCCTTGCCTGGAATGCATTCCCTGCTCACAGCCTTGACCTTGTGGAATCTCTGACTTCCTTCAAAGCTCAGCTTGGGGGCCACCTCCTACAGGAAGCCTGTCCTGATTCCCCCGCTTGCAGGTGCCTCCCCATGAAATACTTTGTACCTTTTTTGTATTTAATTTTCTGAAGATATTATTTCTTACCAAAGAATGTCTGCTCTTTGACAGCAGAGACCAGTTCTGATGCAGAGACCTGGGTAAAGTTACTCCACTTTTCAAAAGTTTTCAGTGATGCCTACTAATTAAAGTCTAAACCCTTCTGCCCACCCATCAAACCTTCCACCATTTGCTGCCACCTCCCCATCATAGCCTTATCTCCTAGGGCTCCTTTCCATGTACTCTATGCTCTGGACAAGCCACCCAACTCTGCCTGTGCTTTCACCCATGGGTCTTGGCTCAGACTCTTCCCCATCCCTGCAAGAGCTTGCTTTCCCTCTCTGCCTGTTAAATTTCCACCAGTCCTTTAATGTCCAGGTCAAATAGCCACTCTAGTATGCCTCCCTTAATTCCCCTAGTCAGAGAAGACCTTCTCCTTCAAACACTCTGCATGTATGTGTGTATAAATATACACATATATTTAGACACACATATGTGTATGTATATATATGTATATATACATATATGTCTATGCATATATGCATAGACATATAAATGTATAACCTAATGGAGGCCATGGAGTGTGTGTATCTGTATCTGCTCTTGACTGGTCCTCAGGGTTAAGCAGCATTTGTGCCTAATAAATCTCTTCTAATTCCCATTGTCTCTTGCTAACACAGTACACTTCAAAAAAAACATTTTGGACTGTTCACCATTCAGAAAGAGAATGCGGATATTCCTAGGAAAAACAGCCTTTAAGATCCTTTCCAGTCATGAAATATTCTGGGCTGTTGCACAGAAGATCTCTTCTTAAGAAATTATATATGACATGAAAGTGATGCATTTCTGATCTTCTATCAGCTAGCTACCTTTAAACAAGAAATATCCTTGAAATGTCAGGAAGTTCCCTCCAAGGAGAAGGATGTTACCAAAAATCATTAGTTTCACTTCTGAGATTGTTTTTTTTCCTGCCCTATGTGAAGCAAAACATATTTTTAGTATTTTCTAAAACAAAAACAGATTCAGAGTTCAACTAACCTTCTGAAGCCAGATCCATGAAGTTCTATTCTTCCTGTATTCCCTGGACTAAAGTTTCTTTACACAGTGCCAGACTGGGAGGAATTGTGTTCCTGCCCACAATTGGGAATGATCTATGAGATTTAACCATTGATAGGAGGCTGAGATTATTTCTATATTTCAGTTTAATCATGAACTTTTTTGGGGGGAGGGGAGAGGGATTATTTGATCTTGCCCAGGCTGGAAGTATAGCAGCCCGAGAAGCACCAAAATTTTAACTTGCTCCTTTTTTTTCTGACTTGGGCCCTTTTGCCTTCCTCAGACAGCCTGGTAGCCCTCTACTTTTCAGGGGACTCATCCTATTGGTGCTGAACTTAGTGTGACATCTGATCAGCTGTAGTTCTTCTGTAGGTCAGGACTCCTGAACTCAAGTAATCCACCAGCCTTAGCCTCCCCAGAAGAAGGGACTATGGACGTGAACCACCCCCCTCAACTAATAACCATGAATCTTAAAGTGTGTGGAGGTAGGGGGGTTGGACAGGTAGATTTGCTTAAAAAGAGCCTCCTGTCTAAATACAACCACCTCACCCCTTGCAGAGGTAGGAGGCCCACAAGTGTTGTACATTCCACGTGTTTTCCAGTGTATTGATCAGTTATGGTGATTTTTTTTCTCTTCTTTTCCTTTTTTGTCTGTGAAAAATTGGATGGCTCTCTGAGATGGAAAGGAAGAGGGATACTGGGGAAAACTATGAGGACGATAAAAACAAAAGAAATAAAACACTTCTTTAAAACAGCATGGGCTCAGCATAGTAACTAAGGCCCTGTGGACAAAATTTCAGATGCATTGACTGTCTCTCATACCTAGAATACTCTCTCTCCTCTCCTCAGTCTCTTAACTTTCCTGACTTTCTCGAAGACACACCTCAAATCCTACCTTTTATAAGTCTTCTCATGGTGTAGCACTCCTGCCACCTCACTACTGGTGCCTTCTCTCTGAGATTACCTTCAATTTTCCCTGAATACATGTTGTAGATCTGGAGTTGTTTGCATGTCTCCCGCATTAGAATTAGAATGTGACAACAATTGATAAGACTAAGACGCATTCCCTAATGGATAAGTGGTCAAAGGATATGACCTGGTGCTTTTCTTTCTATTTTTAAGTTTTCAATTTTACTTGATATATTGTTTATCTCTGCCTCGCATCCAATATATCCCTCCTTAATCTTTCCTAGCAAGTTATCTCTCATAAGAAAAAGTAGAAATGAACAGGCAAGTTTTCCAATGAAGAAATCAAAACAATTTATAGTCACATGAAAAAATGCTCTAAATCATTGTTGGTTAGAAAAATGCAGATTAAACCAACCTTGAGATATCATTCTACACCTACCAGATTGGCCAAAATGATAAAAAGGGGAAAGTGACAATTGTTGAAGACGATGTGGAAAAATTGGGACACTAATTCATTGTTGGTGGAATTGTGAACTGATCCAACCATTCTGGAGAGCAAACTGGAATTATGCCAAAGAGCTATTAAACTACCTATATACCCATTGACTTGGTCTATTTCCAAAGATGATTAGACAGAAAGGAAAAGAACCTATATGTTTGAAAATGTTTATAGCAGCTCTCTCTGTGATGGCAAAGAACTGGAAATTGCGGGGAGGCCCACCCATTACAGAATGGTTGAATAACTTGTGGTATAAAATTGTTATGGTATACTACTGTGCTTTAAGAAATGATGAGCTGATCTGCTTCTGGGAGCCAAGATGGCAGAATGAAAAGGTAGTCGCTCTCACTCTCCCCATCAACCTCTGAAAACCCAGAAAATATCACCCCAGAAAAAAAAAACCCTGGAACACCTGAACTAGAAGAAAGACGGGAGCAGCAGTGCAGCAGCCTCGCAAACGGGTCTCCTAGGGCCTCAGCAAAAATAAGGAGGCAGAACTACAAGGGCCCCAGGATAAGTACCCTGTGGCATTCATCTGAAAGGAGGTGAAGAAAACAACCTAAAGGCTTCCTAAAGCCCGCCTTGCTGATTCCAACCCAACACCAGGTGAGCTGTAGGAGCCCTGAAGCCTCCAATTGTGAAGAAATCCTGAAGCCCAGGTGGTAGAGCAGGCAAACACCAACACCTGGACCTCCAGTGCCTCAGTGAGCAGTGAGGGGAACCGTGGAAACCAGCTCTGAAAACCACCAGGCACCTCGGCACTCCACTGCAAAGGAATATCCGGGTGCATTAGCAGAAATGAGGGAGACAACACTGCAGGGGGCCCCAGGCAGATAAACACCCTGCAGCACCCATCTAAAAGGAGCTGAAGAAAGCTAAAGGAAAGGAAAAGCAGGCAACCTAGAATTGCCTGAAAGTTCCAGCCTTGCTGATTCCAGCCCAACACAAGGTAAGCTGCCAGAAACCTACAGCCTCCAATTCCCAGCATAAGAGGCCCCAGCACGCAAAGCCAGTGACCAAGACCTAGGCTCCCAACACAAGAAGCTTGGGTCAGTACCCTCTGTTCCCCAGCAGGAGAGCTCAATCTCTTTAAAGGCCAGGGAATAAAGAAACACCATGAGTAAAAAGAAACGTACCATAGATTCATATTATGAGAAGAGTGAAGATCAAGACAGAAATTCTGAAGAGGACAACATTGTCAACAAACCCACATCTGCAACAACAAAAGGGAATATGAACTGGTCTGAAGCCCAAAAAGCCTTCTTAGAAGAGCTCAAGAAGGATTTTAATAGTCAAATGAGAGAGGTAAAAGAGTCCTTCAAAAATACAATTGGCCATTGGAAAAAAAATACACTGAAGAAAACAAGTCCCTAAAAAACACAATTGGCCAATTGAAGAAGGAAGGACAAAAACTAACAGAAGAGTACACTGAAGAAAACAAGTCCCTAAAAAACACAATTGGCCATTGAAGAAGGAAGTACAAAAACTAACAGAAGAGTAACTGAAGGAAACAAGTCCCTAAAAAACACAATTGGCCAGTTGAAGAAGGAAGTACAAAAACTAACAGAAGAAAACAATCTGTTAAAAACTAGAATTGGACAAATGGAAACTAATGTCTCTATGAGAGAGCAAGAATCAGTCAAACAGAAACAAAAAAATGAAAAAATAGATGAAAATGTAAAATACCTCATCAGTAAAACAACCGACCTGGAAAATCGACTCAGGAGAGACAATTTAAAAATTATTGGACTACCTGAAAATCATGATGAAAAAAAGAGCCTGGACAGTATCTTTCAGGAAATCATAAAGGAAAACTGCCCAGAAGTCCTAGAACCAGAAGGGAAAATAACCATAGAAAGAATCCACCGATCACCACCTGAAAGAGATCCCAAATTGACAACCAAGAAATATAATAGCAAAATTCCAAAATTACCAGATGAAAGAGAAGGTGCTGCAAGCAGCCAGAAAGAAAGAATTTAAATATCATGGAACCACAGTCAGGATTACACAGGACCTTGCAGCTTCTACATTAAAAGACGCAGGGCATGGAACATGATATTCCGTAAGGCAAAGGAGCTTGGAATGCAGCCAAGGATCAATTACCCAGCAAAAATGAGCATCATTTTTCAAGGGAGGAGGTGGATATTCAAGAAATAGGAGACTTCCAAACTTTCCTGATAAAAAGACCAGAGCTCAACAAAAAATTTGATCTTCAAGTACAGGACTCAAGAAGGACTTAAAAAGGTAAATGGGACAGAAGGATATATATTGTTAATAAGGGGGGGGCTGTTTAAACCCCTACAAGGGAATATGAGACTTGCAACCCTTGAGAACTGTATTGTTATTACACCTTGTTAAAGGAGTATACATAAAGAGGGTGGATATTAGTTGACTTTGATGTAATGATAAAAAAAAATCTAATCAAGTGGGTTAAATGGATCCAAATAAGTGGATCAATCTGATCTTAGAAAATGTACTGAGAAAGGAGGAGGCAGACAAGGGTAAATTACATTACAGGAAAAGACACAAAATCCTATTACAGCAGAGGGAAAGGGGGGGAGCATTGTTTGAACCTTACTCTCATCAGATTTGGCTCAAGAAGGGCATAATATAATCAGTTAGGTATAGAAATCTAACTTGCCCTATAGGCAGTAGGAGGGAAAAGGGGAAAGAAAAGGGAGGGGGGAAAGAAGGGAGGGAAGAAGCAGTAAGACTAAAGGGGAAGAAAAGGGAAAGGGATAATAAAAGGGGGAAGGGACTGAAGGAGGGGTGGTCAAAAGCAAAACACTAGTGAAGGGGGAAAGGAAAAAGGAGAAAGAAAAGCATAAATGGGGGAAAAGGATGGAGAAAAAGACACAGATAGTAATCATAACTGTGAATGTGAATGGGATGAACTCTCCCAAAAAGAAACGGATTGCAGAATGGATTAAAAACCATAATCCTACAATATGTTGTTTACAGGAAACACATTTGAAAAAGAGTGACACATACAGGGTAAAGGTAAAAGGCTGGAGCAGAATATATTATGCGTCAGCTGAAGTAAAAAAGCAGGGGTAGCAATCCTGATCTCAGACAAAGCAAAAGCAAAAATAGATCTAATCAAAAGAGATAAGGAAGGAAACTACATCCTGCTAAAAGGCACCATAGACAATGAAGTAATATCATTACTAAACATATATGCACCAAATGGTATAGCATCCAAATTCTTAGGAGAAGTTCAGGGAGTTACAGGAAGAAATAGACAGCAAAACTATACTAGTGGGGGACCTGAACCTCCCCTCTCGGCACTAGATAAGTCTAACCACAAAATAAACAAGAAAGAAGTTAAGGAGGTGAATAGAACATTAGAAAAGTTAGGTATGATAGACCTCTGGAGAAAACTGAATGGGGATAGAAAGGAATATACTTTTTTCTCGCAGTACATGGCACATACACAAAAATTGACCATGTACTAGGGCATAAAAACCTCACAATCCAATGCAGAAAGGCAGAAATATTAAATGCATCCTTTTCAGATCATGATGCAATAAAAATTATATGTAATAAAGGGCCATGGAAAGATAGACTAAAAAATAATTGGAAACTAAATAATCTAATCCTAAAAAATGATTGGGTCAAACAACAAATCATAGAAACAATCAATAATTTCATTCAAGAGAATGACAATAATGAGACAACATACCAAAACCTATGGGATGCAGCGAAAGCAGTTCTTAGGGGAAGTTTTATATCTCTAAATGCTTACATAAATAAAATAGAAAAAGAGGAGATTAATGAATTGGGCATACAACTAAAAAAACTAGAAAAAGAACAAATTAAAAATCCTCAACTAAACACCAAATTAGAAATATTGAAAACCAAAGGAAAAATTAATAAAATTGAAATTAAGAAAACTATTGAACTAATAAATAAAACTAAGAGCTGGTTTTATGAAAAAACCAATAAAATAGATAAGCCTTTGGTTAATTTAATTAAAAAAAAAAGAAGAAAACCAAATTACTAGTATCAAGAATGAAAAGGAGAAGCTACCACCAAGGAAGAGGAAATTAAAACAATAATTAGGAATTATTTTGCCCAACTATATGCCAACAAATTTGACAATCTTAGTGAAATGGATACATATTTACAAAAATATAAATTGCCCAGATTAACGAAGAGGAAGTAAAATACTTAAATAACCCCATCTCAGAAAAAGAAATTGAACAAGCCATTGATGAACTCCCTAGGAAAAAATCTCCAGGGCCAGATGGATTTACATGTGAATTCTATCAAACATTTAAAGAACAATTAATTCCAATACTATATAGACTATTTGGGAAAATAGGTGAAGAAGGAGTCTTACCAAATTCTTTTTATGATACAAATATGGTGTTGATACCTAAACCAGGAAGAGTCAAAATAGAGAAAGAAAATTATAGACCAATTTCTCTAATGAATATAGATGCAAAAATTTTAAACAAAATACTAGCAAGTAGATTGCAGCAACTTATCACAAGAATAATACACTACGACCAGGTAGGATTTATACCAGGAATGCAGGGTTGGTTCAATATTAGGAAAACTATCAGCATAATTGAG